TGTTGAACTTCCCCCCCCCCCCTTTGAAAGTGACTGCATAAGACCTGGCCCTCACTATAAATACCAGCCAGACAATCTGATCCTTAGGTATATAGGAAAGGAGCCAGAAAATGGCAAACTTGTATAATGCGGGGGAAAGTCAAACCACATGTCTATGGGCCAGTACAAACAAGCATGATTTCTCATCACTTGCTTACTTAGTATTAAATGGCTCTCAGCTGAATCATCCTTCTGGACCATTGCATGGTCTAAAAAAAAAAGGCACACGATGAAAAGCTAAACAGAGCCGGAGCTGATCAGTGCCTGGATGGGAACCTAAATACGTCACATGGGAGTCCATGGAAGGAAAGACAGTAAGACATCTCATGGCAGCAATTCTGTCTTCTGTATGTCCTCAGTTTACTAAACCAGGAGGGTGGTGTTTTTTTGTCTTTTTAAAAAAAGTTATATTTTCCTGCATATTTAAGGAGTTCGGCAGAGTGCAGAGACCCCTACCCTGTCTGTGGGTGGCCCCATTGTACTGCCCTACCAATTGGCATGCAGCCACTAATTTCTCTGTTTGAGGGAAATATGCCGAGAAAGTCATAGCTAACATCTTCTCAAGTTCTCTTCACAGGTTTATGTCTATGAGTCCTGTCTCTGCCACAGACATCCTGTGTTACTTCAGAAAACCTACTCAGCATTTCTCTGTTTCCCCTGTAGTATTTTTTTCAACGGCTTCACAGCATTAAATGATGGTCACACATCACACCATGTAAAACACATTCCAAAAATGGAAACTGGGGACCTGCAACACTTTCTGGGGAGAGAAATGTCACCCCCACACATATACACTGCCCCCTGGTTTCTCTCTCTTTCAAGCCCTTTCTCCTCTTCCTCTTCCCCATCCCATTTTCCATGTGCTCTCCTCAGCCATTTCCCAGACCCCCACTCACCAGGTTCCCTCTCCCCTCTCCTCATTCACCACTTTCTTTCCTTCCACACTGCTGCTGCTTTCTCCCAGACTTGAAGTTCAGCTGGGCTGCCTAGGCCCAGGTTCCAGTGCCTCAGTTGCTAGATGACCTCACAGTGTCAACGTATCTCACAGGACTTTGTGAGATCATGGTCAGTATTTTCTGTTTTGGGGTGGTAGTTGAAACTGCCAAATTTTGATTTTCCTGCAAATCTGAAGATTCCTCCAAGTTTGTAGAAAAATCTTCCCTGCATGTGTGTTTATATGTGTGGGGACAGGGGAGTGGGAGAGAGGGATTGTGAGGACTTTTAAATCCACACTCTTGAGCTATTGTTCAGACTTAGATACAAAGATGAAAGACACGACTGAGACCTGAGAAAGAGCAGATTTTTGACACCTTCTTGTCCTGCCTGCCTACCCTACTCCCTCTCCTGACTGGGAGCTGGGCTGGTAGTCATAACTCCAAATGGCAATGCAGTGAAAGCAGTATGGCAAGCTGCACATGCCAGTTTCCAACCTCTCACAAGATTAAGTCACCCTTCAAGAGAGATCTTGGCCATAGTTTTCTGGTATTGATAGTGGCCAAGCTCTGGAAAGAAGGAGGAATCTTGCCAATGCTCAGGAGGTCTTATAGGGGACATACAACTTCCCAGGCTATTTTTAAAGAAAGCAGGAGAGGCAAAAAAGTAAGGCGGCTTAGTTCCTCTAGGTATATGATGTGGGAGGGGTGGCAGCAATAGTGTGGTAAAGTGGGGGGGGGCTATTGCCATCACCCTCAGGCAACAAAATAACTTGATCGGCCACTGAAGGTTAGAAGTTCAAGGTCTGTCAAGGAAACTGTGTGGAAAAATATTTTTCTCACACAATGTGACTAGCTGTGAGGTTGAAATGCCATCTAGTGGCTCTCAACCACTGTAATGTCATTAGGAATGACTATAACGTTTGGGGCATATCTACATTTGTCCCTTTGCATGTTTCGCCCCCCCCCCCCAGATATGCTATCATGCTACTTGATTGTATTATTTTACACTCTCTACTACTATTTATCATCATCATCATATCCAGAGCAGTACTATGGAGAAGTGGCTAAACAAATAAATATAAATGTCTCTCTCACTCTTCCTCCAAACACTTCAGAGGAGTGTATCTTGCCCCAGCATTTAGCATTTTTCCTACAGAAGCTTAGAGAAAATGATTGACAAAAGGTCACCCAACCATTTTTAATAGAAAACAAACATAACTGGCAGCCAACTGTATCCGGTGTTTTCTCTCTCGTCCTATCTTTTGCAGACCTGATTTATGGTGACTTTTAAAACTTAAAACACAATTACAGTCCAGTGTGGACTGTCATAGTGACATAGGAGTGTCTCAGGGCTACTGTTCATTTAAACAAGGGGGGGGACCCATGAGGTCTCAACGGGGGGTCTCATTCCCTTTCACCCTATTGCTTTTCTTCTGTGCGAACAGAGCATGCAGCATCTTCTTTCCCTTCTCTCCCATCTGCCAAACTACTTTATCTATCTCTACTCAGAAGCTACTGCACTCACTCACCTTCCTCTGTTCCCTCCCACATCTTCAGTTTTCCCTTTTTAGCATTTTTTGTTCCCCCTCCATCTTTACCTTCTATTTTTCTTTCCCCTTTTTCTGTTTGTCTCCCTCTCCCTCACCTCATGCTGACACTAACTGAGCCCCCTGGAATCCTCAGCAAAGTCAGCTGTGAGCTGCTTATCAACCCTCCAAATGGCCATCAAGATCTCACAATGTACTCAGTGGTACCCTTTTAAAGAAGCAGACATTGCTTCTATGATTTTGAGGTTCTAACTGCCAATTAATCATCACTAGCACTTTATGATATTGAATTGTTTTATAATTGAACTGTTTTGAGATGATTTTATGTGGATCTTTATTGTTATTTGTGTATTTCTGTGTAAACTTCCCTGAGCCTGCCTCAGCGGGTAGGGCGGGGTATAAATAAAATAAATAAATGTATTTTTTTACATTCCATATTTTTCTGCAGACTTGGACTTCCCCCACGCTTGTAGAACAATACCCCTTTTCTGTCCCTGTCCCCATTATGTGGCCTTCTTTTAAATCCACACCTATGGCCCAATTTAGTTAGATGTGGGGCATTGTTCCTCCTGTAATGTTGCTGGATGAATTAATTACCTCTTGTTCACTGTGGCCACATCATTTCTGAATCAATAGTTAAGTATCAGTTCTTGTTTGGGGATGGGATTAAGTACTTTGTTTCCTTTCAAAAAACCATTGCTAATTTTTGTCTTATTTTAACTCCGTAACTGCACTATTAAAATAATTTAAAAATTAATGTGACTACACAGAAAAGGGGGGGGGGAGTTAAGCCTCTTGGGGAAAATACCCTCTTCTTGGGGAAAATAATGGCTAACAGTTAAAGCAGAAAAAAACAATTATTTCATTAACGCTGCAGTTGTATAAAGTAACTAATTAACCTCTCAACAAAGGAAGAGATGGAAAATTCCATGGAGAAATTATATATTTGGTGAAAAGCACTTACTACTAGAGTAAACACATGGTAGAATTTTGCCCATGGGAATGGGCATTGTTGGATTTTCTTATGGAGAATACAGCACTATATTAAGTATCATGTGGAACCATAGTTTTTCCCCAGTTATAACTGATGGCAAAAAGAAAAAGAAAAAAGAAAAGATGACAAAGGGGTACAAAAATGTGCTAGTGTGGAAGCAGTCCCAATGAACAGTAAACAGTGAGTTGACCCTTGATCTCACCAGTCCAAATCTGACACTGCATCCAGTATTCCATATTGGCTGCCTTTATTGGCTCTGCTGACATACACAGCACATAAAAACTTTACAAAGAATCCATCATTCTTCAGACTGTGAATCAGGAATTTATATTACATCTGGGTCCAGTACTTGCATCCAAATTGATTTGTGCTTCCCATGGCACAGATCCTTGGAAGTCTGACAGTACTGTCTATGGTGCGGAAAATGCCTAAGTTCTTTCATTTCTTGAAATTGTCCCCTTGTGGAATGACTTGACTTTTGAAAGGCCTCTCCGCTTTCCATAGTACTTTCATAGGGCTTCGTTTTTAGATGAGTGTTCTGCTTGGATTTGGAAGTTGTATAATGGCAGGAATTTAGAACTACCCTGTCCCATGGCTCGCAAAACAGCTTTTGAAAGTTAAATCCCAAAACTGGGAAAAAAACGCTGGCCATATATCAGGTCAGTGTGAGAAACTACAATCTAAGCACAGGCAAATTTCTTGGAAGAATTCACAGAGCTTGAAGAGAAACAACTGCAGAATTATTTGACCCTGTAGTTCTTTTAGCACTGGGAGAAAACCGGGGGGAGGGGAAGTTATCTAGGGTGAATGATGCTTCCAACTAGCCAGCAGCAAAAAAAGACAGACAATTTAGCTTTTAACAAATGATAGAAAGAATACCCCTTTCTGCACCCGTATTTTGCCTTGGTTTCTGAGTGCATCTTATTCTTCCGTTCTGCATTCCCTCCTGCTTTCAATTCCGATTTGTGTCAGGGCTTTTCTTGTTTCTGCATTTGTTTTACAGGAATCTGCATTCAGACTGCTTCCAGCAGATTGTTGCCTCGCAGTGACCAAAACTCCTTTTGCTGCGATTCTTTGTTCTCATCCGCTTTTGAATTGTCAATCCTTTCTGAAGTAAAATTGTTTCTGTGGGTATTTAAGTGCTGCCCACTGCCCTCCCCTGTTTCTGCCTCACTCTCTTTAGGTTCACACTCCCTCCCTGTTCTGTTTTCTTTCTCTTCTTCTCCAAAGACAAAAGAGGACATGTCTTCCTGTTTAGGCAAACTTTTAAAAAGCCAGAGAGAGCATAAGAAGGAACCAGTAAATATAAGTGACTAGGGGATTCCCTGCTCCCAAAAGTGTCAGTCTTACATGTGTGAGCCTGGATTTTCCCCTCCCTTCCCTTTCTTTTTGAAAAATCATGGAGGGAGGGAGGGAGGGAGGGAGAGGTTGGGTCTGCAGTTTGAAAAGATGTTTGCCTTTCTCTTCATCTTAGACAAAGCAGCCAGTTAGCACAAAAATTGTGGGTTTTGCTAGTAGATGCAGAATGCATACAGAATATACAAATAAATTAAAAGTAGGGGGAAGAACAGTCTAGAGGGAATGAGTACGAATGCAAAGTCAATCCTTAAGACTTGACTCCTCGGATTCTTCAGAGCAAGCTGTCAGTGCAGAAAGGGCCAATAGGACATTGAGCACATGACAAGAATTCAGAAACATTTGCCCATGTTCTTTGGTAAGGTCATTAAAAAAAGACAACGGCCGTCTTTCCTTTTCCTGTTATGCTGTATTTTTCTCTCTTTCCTTTGCACAAAAAGCTAGAATCAGATGGAGACTTATGTGGAAAGTGAAAGCCCTGGTGGGAAGTGTTTGCTCACTGAGGCATCAAACGTTGTATCGTAGATCACATTTTCTTTTTGCACAAAGGTGGCATAGGGTTCCATTTCATTCTCCTACAAGAAAAACACATCTCTTGAGAAGGAAATATGGCTCATGTTCCACCTTCCAAATAGAGTTCTAAAGTGTTTCTACAAAGGGAAGGAAGTTTCTAAAACTCATTTGTTTCTTTTGTTACATTACATAAATTTGGGACAATGTTTTTACTTACCTCTATTAAAAAGAACATAAAAGGTGAACTGTATGTATGTGGTCTTTTTTGCAGAGTGAAACAAAAAGATTTTAAAATTATTACCATAAACCATTGATTACTTTTTAATAGAATATTCAGACATCATAAGCAGAAAATCTCTGATTACCCACAATTTGTTATGACACCTGAATTCAGGCTTTTCAACAAAGTGTCTGAATTCAGACATCACAACAAATTGAACTTAGTTTCTTGCCCACAGCTCAGGATTTAGATTTCTAGTTTGGGGGCAAAAAACAAACTCCAATGTGTTGATGTACCTGGTGTCAGACATCACAACAAACTGAGATTTGTTGAAGACTCCCTAACCCAGAGTTTGTTTGTGATATCCAAATACAGCCTAAGATAGAACCTGGTTTTGTAAAAGATTATATATCAAACATTGATAGCATTTGGAAAAGAAACCAGATAGTCACAAAGGTATGCCCAAGTTTCTAATCTCATGTGATTTTTCTAATCTCATGTGATAACAAAGAGTCCTTGACAATGAATCTTCACCCTTTAAATTGTATTTTCTGCTTCACAAATTATTATTTCTCTTAACTCAGCAATGCTATGCTAAACTAGCACAGCTACTAGGCAGTAATAGTAAGCAACACTTGCACGGCATGGTAATATCGGCTAGGACACTGTGCATATGTGCAGTGGTAAAAAATCTGCTGAGTACATTCCTTATTTATTTGTCTCACCTGGATGCTGGGTCTTGAAATTGTTTCTGGGCTTTTAGATGTATCAGCTTCCCTTTGCCTGACAGGAAAGGAGAATATAATCAGATTGCATCTCTCCAGTCAGATACCACCCCAAATCAGTTTGGATCAATCTAGTGTGTTCTCATATCAAATAACTAAGCATCCCTTTTGATTTTCCAGCTTGAGTATATTACTCATTGCTATGATACAACAACACATAAGGTCAAATTACCAAGTTCCAATGGAAATATGGACAATTCATATCAAAGTTCTTCTACCCCAGCCCCAGTGTTGATACTGCTCTTCTTTTTTCCCCTTGAATGGCACAATGAGAGCCCCTCACATGCCCTTTCCCCCAAAGCCAGAGGCAGAACAGCACTAATATACACTGCTCTTTCTCTGCTTTAAAATGATGGTAATCGAAGCAGCTGAACAACAACCAACTTACATAAGGTCTTTGTCATACTTTCCATAGAGAAGTCTGCTGAGGTAGATGAAAAGCAAAATCAGAATAATTCCCAGGATAACACCGAGGACGGAATACAGAAGTGGCATTTTAGAGTCCTTCAATTTTTCACCATTTCTGCCTGAAGATTTGCAAAGTACCAGAAATATTAATTAGCAGAGAGCAAATAGGTTTATTCAACAACTCAGTCAACAACAGATAAAGTTGTAGACTAGAATTTGCCACCAGTATATTGGTACAGTTGGGATGGAAAGCTGTGCTACTCTGCAAGCCCCTCATCTCTGTGCCAAATATGATGAAAAAGAAAGTTACAAATGGCTTTTCTTTCTGTTTTGTTGCTCAAATGATCAGATATCATTTGGCGGGTTTGAAACTGCACTGACTTTCCTTCTAGCTGTTATAGCTGCTGCAGGCAACTGGAGCTGATGGTGCTAAGTTGGTATCAGTGCTAATCCTTTATCGCCAGGTTGTCCACAAGACTCATGGGGTTATAATTTATGCCCTTTAGCAGTGGAGTTTTAATGATGCAGGAAATATTCCAGGTTCCCAGATTGATGAAGGGGAACATAAAAGATAGCTTTATCTTCTTGTGTACTGCCTGGTAGCTTCTTCTTCTTAAATTGTAAGTTACCTCATATGTATGGAATACAATGTTATTCCTTCAGTAGTCTAAAAATAGTGCTAATATTGAGGGTCTGGTAATATGGAAATTGTATCCCCAACCCCAATGGATTAATCAATCAATTAATGAATTAAACCCATTAAATGAATGCAGTTTAAGTTCAGGAGGACAGATTTCAGATGAACATTATGAGAAGTTTCATAACAGTAGACTAAACCCATGGAACATTTCTGCTCACTAGGGCGGCCAAACTCCAGGTGGGACCTAGGTATCTCCCAAAATTACAACTGATCTTCAGATGACAGAGATAATTTCCCCTGCTTTGGAGGGTAGCTTCTATGGCATCATTCCTTGCTGATGTCCTTCCACTCCCCAAACCCTGCCCTCCCCGGGCTCCACCCCCAAATCTCCAGAAATTTCTCAGCCCAGAGCTGGCAATCCTGCTGCTCATGCAAAAGTGTAACCATACTAAAGTAATTGCAAATAGTCCTTGAGCGAACTCAGTTTGACTATATCCCATCTTATGTTTTCGCTTGCACAACACATAGGTCAAAGTGTATTTCAGCAATGTCCCTCCTGATAATGACTGCCTTTGATCAAATCATATCAAACAGACTTTGTCTTGATTTTTGCAACAGCATCAGAGATAGGATATGAATATGGTGACACTGGCCTTGGCATTAAGTAAAACTTGTGCTCTGCTATTGCCTGGCAGGATCCAACCTAGTAAGAGGAGCTCAACAATGAGACCAATTACCTACGGGTAAGTGCTCCCCCTCACTGGACATGTTCAAGCAGAGGCTAAACAGCCAGCTATTGAGATACTCTAGTAGCATGGATTTTTCTGCACTGAGCAGGGCACTGGATGAGATGGCCTCTAAGATCTCTAGATTCTAACACACAACCAGTTGAGAGTCAGAACATAAACAGAACATAAATGGAATGAGCTCCCGGAGGAGATCAGGGCCCTGTGGGACCTTTTACAGTTCCACAGGGCCTACAAGACGGAGCTCTTCCACCAGGCCTTCAATTAGGAGCCGCCCACCACTACCACCAACTACCACTATTATTAACATCTGTGGTAAGACAGGAAGATCGCTAAATCGGGAACTTTTGTGTTACATCTAAAGCACGCCACCTTAGCGTAATGAAGGAATGACTATTGTGCTAGCACTTTAATTGTATGATTGTTTTTTAAATGTTTAAAATGTTTTATGTGGATTCGGTACACTCTACCAATCAATGTAAGCCGCCCTGAGCCTGTTCGCGGGGAGGGCGGGATACAAATGCAACTAACAAATAAATAATAAATAAACAGATCACCAGTCTTCATTGCCTGACTCAATTCATAGCATCTACAAGAAGAAGTTGTGACACTTATGTCTAAAGCATGCATGAGTGAGCTACCCGAGTCCAGTATCCTTAGAAACCACGCCTATCATTTAGCCACTATTAAGGCTTCCCCCCAGCATAATGTTTTTTCTTATACAGCATGAAACTCCCCTGTACTGAATCAGACCGTCAGTTAGTATTGTCTACTCAGACCAGCAGCAGCTCTCCAGGGTCTCAGGCAGAGGTATTTCAGATCACCGACCTGATCCTATCTGGTCCACTTATTCCATCTTTTGGCCTCCCTTGCTGAAGCTTTCCATTTGATGCGGCCCATCTAAGTAGATCCTGTAGTCTGGTTTATGGCCCAGTTCCTTCAATGTTGAGAATGTTGTACTTGTAAATTACAGTGCCATCTCTTCTCAACTTATATACTTTAAAAAAATGTTTTAATTGTTTATCTCTTGTATTTTTTAAAATTGTTGTTTGAACTGCTGTTGTGATCCACCCTAAGCCCAATTGCAGGGAGGGCAGAATATAAATTTGAATAAATAAACAAACAAACTGGAGATGCTAAGGAGTGAACCAGAGACCTTCTGCATGCCAAGCAGATGCTCTACTACTGAGGCACAGACCCTTCCCAAAGCAGAATAATGTGGAGAACATCAAGCAAACTTCATAAACAGAACCTGGTAACCATCCAGCATCCTAGTTGTGGATCTCAAACAAATCAATATGAACATCCACTGCTAGCCTAAGATTTTCCTTGCATATTCTTTATGGGTGTCATTCCAAAAGGAATCATTCTGGCAACAAAAAAAAAAGCATCATAGCAGAGCACCAATGAGGGAATAGCGGAGGAGCTGTGGCTCAGTCATAGAACATCGACTTTGCACGCAGAAGGTCCCAGGTTCAATTCCTAGCATCTCTAGTATTGTGTAGTGGGTTGACCGCATGGCGAGGCCACTGCGGCACGCATAAAATCTTGCACGCTTCACTGGTACACAACAAAAAACTGAGGGGAACGGCCGGTGGGCCAACTATATACACATATGGGGACACCCCCTAGGTCCCGTTGGTGGGTTTGAATCTCCCGCCACTGTCCCATTGGTCCCCCAGTGGAGAGACCAGGAGCCTTGAAGGTCTGGTAATATGGTCCCCCAGTGGAGAGACCAGGGAGCGGTGGCGCAGGCTGTTAATGCAGCCTGCCTTAACATCTGGCCGAACATCTGTTCGAGCCCCACCGTGGCCGGAGTGAGCTCCCGGCCTGCATCCCAGCTCCCGCCCACCCAGCGGTTCAAAAGCCCGTTAAAGGGCGAGTAGATGAATGGGAACCTACCCTTAGTAGGGTAGGGGCACCCCCCTCGTCCAAAGAGTGTGGTGTGCGGCGGCGGCAGCAGCGAAGGAACAACAACAATGGCGGCGACGGCGGCGGTGACAGTGGATCCTGGCAGCAGAGACGAGGCAGCGCGGCGGAACATCGAGAGCCAGTGGAGCGATCCCTGGTGGCCTGCGGAGTTCCAACAGAAAGCGGCCGGCGCGAGCAGCAGAAGGTGCAGATGACGTCTTCTCCCGGTGCGGCGGAGCCTATCGGATGGAGCCAAGGCCGGGAGAGACGAACTCACACACCGAGACGGCTGCCTTGCTGGAGAAGAACTGCGCCGGAGAGAGGAGCGTCCTGCCGACCTAAGGAGCCAAGGAAGCCAAAGCCGGAGACCAGAAGGAAGAGCCACCACCACCGGGGTGCTAGGTAGGCTGACCCAACCCCTGAGAATCTGCCCATAGTTAGGGATCCATAAAAGTGATTAGCACTACAAAGTTGTAAACTGCCCAGAGACCCCCATTGGGGGTGTTAGGGCGGTATATAAAATCGAAGGTTAAATAAATAAATAAATAAATAAATTGTTCTTCCAGAGTCAAGCTCTGGGGTATTTGCTGGCCCCTGGTGGCGGTCAGCGGACACAACATCTAGTTTAAAGGAGCGGGTAGTAGGAGATGTGAAAGTCCTTCACCTGAGACCTTAGTGAGATGCTGCCAGTCTGAGTAGATGATACTGACCTTAAAGGACCAATGACCTGATTCTGTATAAGGCAGTTTCATGTGTGTGTTCAAATACTTATATCAGTCAAGGAGATTTCCTCATTTTTTAGAAATATAGGCCAAAAATAAAATGGCTAGCCTACAATTCAAGAACCCCAGAACATATTACCTGTAGAATGAAACAGTGTATTCATTTGTTCAGAATATTTATCTACTTCTTGCACACATAAGTTGCTAAGGAAACTCACAACATAAAATTAATACTTACAATCAACATATAAATCACCAAATACCAAAGAATGCAGTCAATGAGACCAAGACTATGAAGATAATGATGTAGCATAACTAAAACAATTAGAATCAGACTATATGAGAAACAACTGAGAAACAAAATAATAAAATGACAGTGAAAGATAAATGGTAATGTGGACAAGTAGAAAGTCTGGATTTGCAGCATGCATATATTCTAAAACTTATGGGTTGCCATTTAAACAAAAAATGGTGAAGGCTGATATAAAACAAATACATAAAAAGGCAGAAACATGAATGAATAAAGAACCAAAAATAAAGGCAGACAAGTAAGGGGAATATAATGAAGAAGAAGATGAAGCAGTAGGAAAGGAAGGAAATGATCAAAATCTAAAGAAAAGAAAGAAGGACTTCAGCTGACAATAGAGCATGTAGAAACTGAAGGCTGATCTGAGAACTCTCAAAAGAGAATTCCAACAAAGGTGTATTACAACCAAACATAGGGATAAGACCCATAATGGTACCTGATTTGAGACTCAAGACAAGGGAGTTGCTCCAAGCTGGATGGGAAATGTGGCAAGTTAAGTTATTCTCTTCAGCACTTGTGACATTATATGTGCTTATTATGATGGTCTCTGTGCCGTTAGCCAACATTTTTTTCACAGTGCTAGAATCCCGTTTCAGGCCCCATGAGACCTGTGCCGCTGGTTTTCCTGCAGCTGCCACACACACAGCAGTTCCATTGGAGCCATAGGTCAGGAGCACCTGAGGAGGCACTGGAGTAAAATGGCAGAAAGAGTCAGCTCAGTTTACCAAGTGTAGTAGGATGAGATCTGCTCTAGGAAAGCATAGTTGGGTAAAGATAAAAGGAATACCGTCATGTTCTGTTTCTAACTTTTATTGAGGGAATGGAAAAGGTTTTGAACAGAAGGGCTGCTTGGCTGATGAGTAAAGCCATTTCCATAGCAAACACATTTCCATCCCTGCCAGCATTTTGAAAAATGCAAAGTAGGTAGTTTCAAGCACTGAATCATCCACTACCCCTCAAACTACAAAACTCACTAGATTCAATGTTTGAACATATTCATTCAGAAAGCAGAGGGGCTGTCTGTGCCACTCCAAACAATTACTTCTCACTGTGGTTTCTACAAGCCTTGTTTGACAAGAGGAAAGGAATGCCTGTAGATGGAAGAGTATAGGGCAGGTCCCAATCCTAGTAGTACCCTGAGTGCACCTGCTTCCCTTCACAAAGACTCTCTAGACACTTAAATGCTGTAAAAAAAAGTCATCATCTGGGGGAAAAGCTTTCATCCACAGAAGGTACCTTCTTGTGGTGCCAGTGAATAGCACCACTGAACAATTCTCTTTGGGGTCACTCATTGGAAGTAATTCCAAGAACGATCATAAAACCTCACAACAATATGCTGTTCTATTGGGCATGTGGGGTTTTTTTTTGGGGGGGGGGATAGAAAATTCTCCCAGCTGCATGCTGCTTAAAGGGGGATGCTACCAGATATACTGTGAATATTGAAAGTATATTGCAAGAACATTTTGGTGACCTAACTGAGCTTTCTCTGGTCTCTAAAGTGCTTCATCATGAGTCTAGGTAAAGTGTTTCTTTTACTGCATACCAAGAAGTATTCTTTCTTCCCTGCCTTTCTTCTCTTTCTGTCTGTTCTGATATATTCATCCACAATCGATCCCAACTGTTTCTTTCCTCCCCAGCCTTACACATTCTCCCAAATTTCTCACTGAGCTGTGCTTATCCCTTTTCTGTCCTGGATTTATTTCATCATTCATCCAGATAAGATTTGAAGAACAATTATCATTAAATTCTTCTGAGGCTAATACTGAGAATTTCTTGAGTCAAATTCTCTTCAGCTTTACTCCATAATATTGATTCCTATTGAAAACACCATGTCCCCTCTCCCCACTCAAAGCATTTTTCTCGACCACCATGGACTTATCTCCTCCACATTTTATACTACTGGTTAGAATTCTTCTCCTGTATGCTTACTTTTGTTCTTCCAAGCCCTTTCACCTTTATACTTCCTATTAGGAAGCAGACTCATACATAAAGCAATGGATGTTGGGCCTCTCTCCCTCAAGATCTTTCTCTCTCTCATTGTTCATATGGAAGAGAAAGAAGAGGAGAAACATTTCACACATACTGAATAATCCACTTTCAATCCCCTTTCAATGCAATTTTCAACTGGATTTTACTGTGTGAAATAGCAAAACCCACTTGCAAATGATCACGAAAATGCATCGAAAGTGCATTATCCAGCATTTATGAAAGTCTTAGATGACGATTTACAGAAAACGAAAAGCACGAGGGGTTGCTTACCTAATACGGTTAGAGCATACTCATGGAAGAAAGTGCCCTCATTGATGGAACTGGAGCATTTATAGAATCCTTCGTTGAAAATCTGCACTGGCTTTATAAGAAGAGCATATTCTTGATCGGGTCTAGAAAACCAGTTAATGTTCTCAGTGCAGTTTGTATCAGATAGATTTTTGATACTCATGTAGGATAAATGACAATTTGTCCCATTTATCAATTTCACATTCCATACTGTTAGCAAGGTGCTTTGCTTTTGCCAAGGATATCTCAATGTAATAGACGAACCAACCACTGCAGATATATTGGATTTTTCTGTTAGGAAGATTCAAAAGAAAAATACCATTAGAGGGTGTTAAAGCTGTAATTTGGCTAGAGCAGGAATTTGTGCCAAACTCCTAGCTCTAGATCCTCAAACATTCCTGGCTAACAGCCAAGCTGACTCACAAAAAAGGTACTTTCCCACTGTATTATCACCACAACAGGCCGCTGCAGTTCTGACATACACTTTGTCATAACTCCTTTTTTAACAGATCCCACAAAGGAAAAAGGATCTAATGGCTTAAGGGCTGGGATGTAAAAGAGACAGTATGCTAAAACTGGAATTCAACTGATTAGCTCTGAAACTACAAAGAAGAAATCCACTTTGGATTTATTTATCTGAATCTATTATACAAGCTGTGATGTGACATTCATATCCATAGACTAGACATTGTAATTTTTAAAACTCCAGTTCATTTATATTAGCCACAGGCTTTATTTCGTCTGCTGATCAAACCATTTTATATTATATTATAAAACAAAAGAAACGACATGGATGTAAAATAGTGTTTTCATCTGTGCTACAGTATTAATAAATTTGAGAAGGTAGACAACATTACCTTCCGCTGGTTGAGTTGCAGGCTTGGTCACCGTTACTGATCGAGGTGAATTGCTGACAAGATGCTGTACAGAATTGTTTTGAATGGACCCTCTTGCCGGGAATGACCCTAAAAAGAATAATGATATAACACCCATAAAATTGGCCTCATTTTCTCTCATTTTATTTAATGTGTATCTCATATTTTGGAAGCTTTTCTATTTTTTTAAATTAAAAGATAGAAAAAGGTGATCAGACAAGTCGGACACAAATTCATGTTCCTCATGGTTAATGAGACCTACTTTGTTCAGCAGAAGATCCCAGCCCTAAAGCTTTTTCCACAGTCATTTCTCTTCTAGAAACTGTACAGTTTACTGTATCTTTAACATCACTTTACATTGATAGGAATTATTAGATGTGCTTATTACTCATGAAAGGAGAACCAGACTTTCATGTCCTATGACAATTTTGTTAAAAAAAAACCTCACACTAGTAGGCAGACTATAAATAACCAAATAATGAATAAGAAATGTATCTGGGATGTATTCACCTCTCCAAGCCAAATTCCAAGGTATCTCAGTAAAATATTTCACCCCGCACACACGCACACGAAAAGAATCACACACATAGAAAATATTTTGGGTGGGAGGAGCAGGGCTGCTGATAGCCACCATGGGCCCCCAGACAAAGATTCCACCTGGGCCCCCCATGTGGCCATGATCCAAATGAAATATCATAACAAAACAAACCACTTGGTTTGCTGTTACCATGACTCTATAGTAATAAAATAATCAGCTAGTCTGTCCATCTATTATTTAATGATTTGTTTTATTGATTTTACTTCTACCTCACCTTTCTCCCCAATGAGAAACCAAAGTGGCTACACCATTCTCCCCTGCTACACCTTATCCTCACAACAACCCTGTGAGGTAGGATAGGCTGAGAGTGTGTGGCTGGCCCAAGCTTACACAACAAGCTTCCACTGGAAAGAGTGGGGATTTGAACCTGATTTTCCCAGATCCTAGTCCTACATTTTAACCACTACGCCATGCTGGCAGGGGTAACTCATCAAAGATTAAAGCTGGGAGACTCAAAATTGGCCACCAGCTTCAGGGTGACTGCGGAAGTTCCGGGGCCCAAATTGGAAGGTGTGGGGAAATCCTGGCCCAGGTGAGACAAACCACCACCACCCTGGGTGGTGGAAGCCAAGGGTCTCTGCTTGTGGCAGGACTTCGGAAAAATAACACTTCTTGTTTGAAAACTGGCCCAAAGTCCCAGAATGATAGAAGTTGTAGTGCCAAAGATGAAGGAAACTGGAACACCTTGAACTAGGTTATCTTCATGACAAGCAACATGTAATAAGAGAGCTTTTAAGCAACCTGTCATGTGTCTCTAATACTCAGATCCCAAACCTGCCATGGAAGGTTGCTGGGTGACACACACTGCCAGACCTACCTCACAGGGCTGTTGTGAGGATAAAATGAAGGACAGGAGGAACACTGCAGCTCTGGGTCCCCACCGGGGAGAAAGTCTAGGGATAGTGTTTGTTATAAAACTAATTTTAATGACATTAAAAATATTACCTCATGTGTCATATAGCAAAGTAGCCTTTACAAAGGGCTATTAGATCTTTCACCAACACAATAATAATAACAACCCAGTGCCTGAACTGGGAGTTCTAACTTCTGTTCTACATGTATAACCACTAAAACAGAACTTTTCTGTGAGAAAAATTTAGAGACAGGCAAAGTCCCAACTCTTACAAAATTTGAGGTTTACTACATACATAAACCACCATGGGCCCAAATGCAACAAGCAGATGATGAACATCAGGCCAATGCTGTTTCTTCTCAGGATCCTTTGCAACAGAGTACATCCTTCAACACAGATAATACAGAAAACCACAGAGGTTACAAGAAAAGGATATCATGTAAACGCCAGGTAGAAGGTACACTTACCAGCTAACACCATGATGATCACTGTGACAGTGAGCAGAATTCTGGCACTCCAGGTCTTCATAACAAAATTAATGTCAGATTTCATGTCTCACACAATTCTCTCACCGCCACATCCATTGTGTCATACATCTAGCTGCTCTTCTAGTGGACATCTTTTCGTACAGTCCTCTCCTGTCCAGCTAGCATCTCAGTTTTCCTTTCCACATCCCTAGCTTTCCGCAGCAAGTCTGTGTGTTCCTGACTGATTAGGTCCTTAGGACTGGGGAGGTTCCTCTTTCTGCCTTGTCATTCACTAAACAGGGCTTCCTGTGCTCACTGTCAAAAGTGAACCTTGCGGAAACAGCACAAGAAGACTCTTTGCTCATGGTTTCTCTGTACAATACTGATGTCTGGGTGCAGATAAGCTTCTCCTGCTGCACCTGAGGAGAAAAAATAATACCATTTGTACATCAAACCCAATCAACATAGCGAAGGCCCCTTATTTCTAAAGCTTTATTTGAAATTTGTCTGAAATTTTACAGAAGAGGAGATGAGCTGGAGCGTGCTTTCATTCCAGCTACCTATCTATTATTCTTCCTATGGTCTTCTGAATTAAGGAACATAAATAAATAGCAAATAAAGGTACAATTTATATTTCCCAGGGGTAAAA